GCGAAATCGGGTTGCGGTTGAAAATAATACAGCCCTGGAAATGATTCTGAGGTTAAACATAGGTGGGAGTACTATCTCACCAGCAAATGACTCTGGCTTGTATCGGTTATGGTTAGAAGACAAGGCTTATTTTCGAGGTTCAGATAATCGACTTGTCAATGCAACTATTCGAATCAAATACTCGGAAACTGCTGCTTATGTAGCACCTGCAAAGGTCTATCAAACATCCCGGACTGCAAACAAACAGGAAAGCCTTTCCTGGAATTTGACTGTTGATGCAGGGTTTACATACCTGGTAAGGCTTCACTTATGTGTGCTTCAGCTAGATGTAACAAACAGTGGAAGCAGGAAGTTTCTTATTAGAATCGGAAATGGAAAGACTGAGGCTGAGGAAGATGTGGTCAATTGGAGTGGGGCCAGGGGAATTGCTGTTTACAGAGACTACATTTTCAAGATGCCAAACGTAGGAAATTTTGGTACGACTGATCTTTTCATATCTTTGGGAAACAGCACTAACTTAAATGCTCTAAACTCTGATCCTATCCTAAATGGTTTGGAAGTGTTCAAACTCAGTGACTCTCAACGCAATCTTGCTGGACAAAATCCTGCTTCCAAGATTGCACCAGTCCCAAGTCCACGAGCGAACAAGCCTAAGGACAGAAAATTGGCATTCATCATTGGTGGGGCTACGCTGGCTGCTTTCACTGTAATCTTGCTATTTGGTCTCACTATTTTCTGTCTTTTGAAGAGAGGGAAAAGCAACGCGAAGGACAAGTCAGTGGCGCCGAGAGGACTTTGCAGACGTTTTACATTGAACGAGCTCCGGGAGGCCACCAACAACTTTGACAGAGCTCTAGTAATTGGCAATGGTGGTTTTGGTATAGTTTTCAAAGGTTGCATTGACGGTGAAACTCCAGTTGCTATAAAGGCCTTGAAGCCAACATCAACTCAAGGTTCCGATGAGTTTGAAGCAGAGATTAAAATGCTATCTGATCTCCGGCACCCACATCTTGTATCGCTGATAGGTTACTGTGGTGAAGGGATCAAGATCATTGTTTATGACTACATGCCCCGGGGAACCCTCCAGGATCATCTATACAGGACAGAGGGTCCCCCCTTATCATGGAAACGAAGGCTTGAAATCTGCATTGGTGTTGCCCGTGGGCTTAAATACCTTCATGCCGAAAACCCCAAGATCATCCACAGGGATATCAAGCCAAGCAACATTCTCTTAGACGAGAACTGGGTTGCCAAGGTTTCAGATTTTGGTCTATCCAGATTAGGCCCAACAAGCTTATCACGCAGCCATGTCACAACTGATGTTAAGGGTACCTTTGGATATTTGGATCCTGAATATTTTCAGACTAGCCACCTCTCAGTGAAATCCGATGTGTATAGCTTTGGGGTAGTTTTATTTGAGATATTATGTGCTAGACCGGCAGTGGATTTGGAGCTAGATGATAAGCAGAAAAACCTGGCAAAATGGGTTCGACAGTGCATTAAAGCTGGCAAGCTTAAACATATTATGGATCCCAATCTTGAAGGGGAGATTGCTCCAGGGTGCTTGAAAGCGTATGTGAGCATTGCTTTGAAGTGCCTGAACGATGATAGACATAAACGGCCTAAAATATCTGCTGTGTTAAAGAGACTTGAGCATGCTTTAGAGTTACAAGAGTGCACTGATGCTGCTTCGGATGAAGAAATCATGAGCTGCAATGACTTGGAGATTGTGTTAGGGCCAAGCAACAACTCCAAAGTGTTGCATTCTTGTCCAACATTTTGGAACAAAAAAATTTCTCACAAGGAATTACTCAGGTTTCTCAGTGACAAGGCAGGATTCAAATGGGCTAGACCACCGGCTCTGTGTGGTCTCCAGTCACTTTGTCGTGCCGCTCCAGGTTATGGTGCCTTGTCGCATGATGGCCAAATGAGCAACTCAAGTGACTGAGGGCTTTATGCAACAGCAGGGAGGGTTATGGTTCCAATTTTATTGGATGATGATGACGAGACTTTGAGTATATAAGAAATTTATGTTTTTTGCCCTTATATATTGTTTACTATAGATTTGTGTTGCCACTAATTTGCTTTCAACTTTCCCTTTTCAAAGTAGTTTTAACTTTCAAGTCTTAATTGTAGAATATGTGGAACTAAATAGGAAGAGTTAGTATAATTGTGCTCCCTTTTTTCTGTTGTTCTCATCTTTTCCTTTCTTTCTGATTTTTTTTTTATTCAATATTAGCTCTAATAGCAATGCACACGGTTCAAATTTTCTCTTCTTTGCGACTGATTTAAAAGCTATTGTTCTTTGCATAAAGAAAAACTCATTAATCCTTCCCAATAAAGTACTGTTAGATGACTTTATAAGAACCTATACCATGAATTTGGAAATTTTTTAGTCGGTTAATTTGGTTCATTACTAGATAATTTCTTCCACGTTGCTATGGTTCAATAATAATAATTAAAAATATTAAAATATATTTGTACATATCTATTTTATTAACTTATGAAATATTAAGATTTCTAAAAATAAATGTGAAGATCTATCATGAATAAAATAAAATAAAAAAGAATTGAAATGAGTTGACAATTTATAGCGCAAAACAACAAATCATGATCAAAATGTTTCAAATTTTTTCGAATTTGTAAGTATTTTAACTGATGAATTATGCAAAAAGGAATTATAAATTAGTGAATATATTCATCATCTTTGGGTTTAATGAATTAAAACTTTTGACTTCTCTCTTTAAATGAATCAATTGTGATAATAGAGTGAAAAAATTGACAATTGTTGAAATTCAATGTTTTTTTATTTTAACATTCTCTTAGATGATTATAATTTTAATTTAAAGACAAACCAATTTATAAAATTGTACAGTCAAATAAATAGAAAGATTTTCTAAAAATAAGACAATAACTTATTTATAAAATTGACATATATCATCTTTTGATAAAACTATAAGTTCAAATAGAATTATATTAGATTAGCTAAAATCCTACTGCCTTTTAGATTCCAATAAGACATATTCCTTTCGAACTAATTTTTGAAGTTATTTATTAGATAAGTAAATTACTTTTACATTGCATTATCATGTTGTTATAACGAGTATTTAGTTTTACAATGCGAGAAATGTTAAAAAGGTTATAGTTTTAGATAAAATTTAAAATTTAATTCAAATAATTTATCCATCTTTTTTAGTAAGTGGATTTTCATAAAATTTTAATATTTGATCTCGGCACTTGCAGTTTTCCTTTTCTTAATTTTCAAAGCTGTGGTCTTTTTTACAAAAAAGAAGGTTTACATACGTGTTAAGATAATATTTATAAAAAATTGTACTTAACATTTTTTTTGAAAGAATAATATATTAAATAAAAATTTTTTTAAAATAAAAATTTAGCTATGGTACTTAACAGATGTCTAACCAAACCCTTACAATATTAGCATTTTTTCGTGATATGGTCGTTGTAATTGTAGACTGAGAAACTCTAACACTTGCAGCCCAAGGTTTATCTATGGTTAACCCATTAGCTTATTTGTCAAGGTTGTATTGAAGTCTCATAGGAAAGTGTGGACATAATATCTATACTTCTATACTATCGATTGAAAATCATCTCAAAGGTTAGTTTATCGACATTTGTTAATTGTGATTGATTGTTTTTTTTTAATTAATCTTAATTTATTTGTAAGGGTTAGCTTAGGGACATTTGTCAATTTATGATTGATAGTGTTTTTAATTAGTCCTCTTTTATTTATTTATAATTAATTGACATTTGTTAATTTGTGATTGCTTGATTTTTTAATTAATCTTAATTTCTTTGAAAGGGTTAGCTTATGGGCATTTGTCAATTTTTGATTGGTAGTCCTCATTTATTTATTAATAGATTGGGATTAAAATATTTCCCATTTGTTTATAGCATGGGTTTAACACATCCTTTGAATTTTAGTTATTTATTTATACAAAGATCCGGCTTTATATGTTATTTTATAGATTTGCACTTATAATTAATTATTACAAAATTTTTAGAGTTTGGGATTTGTAGTTTTTTAGACAATTATTTTTTTCTAAACAATAAAATGCTAGCTTCACTTGCAGCGGCTTTTAATTGACGTGAAAAGCTTGTCTTGCTTTTGTTTTTCATATGCTAAAAATAACGATTACAATAGTTTTAAATTACAGAATCCACTTTCACATGTAATTTTTATCATGCACATTTCGGGTTCTAGATTCCTCTCTCAGTCCTTTTCTTTCCATGTTTTTGTGTTCATATCTGTTTTTTTTTTTTTTTGTTATAATTTTGTCTGAAGTTATGCCCTGGATTTTTTTTCTTATTTTCTGTTATGTATGTCCCTGCGAGATTTAGATTGTTTCCGTTGTAAATGTCCAATTATTTTTGGTTTCTTTTTTTCACAGTTTGATTTACGATGGACTGGATTGTTTCCAGGATATGTTTGTTTAGTTTAGAGTATTTATTTTTCAATTGTATCTTTCATATTTCGATTCTTTGCAAAATGCTTTTTATGACTTTGTCTAAGTAATTTGTTTAGCTTATATACATTCAAGTTTGGATTGTGTTCCTTCACTTGAAAGTGTGTATTTCGAATACTTCTTTTATTTTAGCGTTTTGAATTTATGTATTCGAGATTTTGCATTGTCTTGCTTCGGTTTATATATCTTTATTGTTTAATGTTCCTTCATTTGTTACTAGGTTTCAATCACACACTTCATTTTGAAAGTAAAATAAAATTATATATTTATAATTTAATTATAAAAATAAAATAAAATTATGCATTAATAATTTAAATATTAAATAATGTATAAGAGAAAAATATTACAAACTCAATAAACCAAATAATATACAATTAAAAAGTTCATATTTTAATTTGTATATTTTTTAGATATTAATTTATATATTTTTTTAAGGTTCTAGTATCAAAATTATAATTATGTTCAAGCAAGCTTGTATCCCTTCTACAGAGACAAGCTACAGATTTCTCTCCAAGATTACATTGGAAGGATTGAACACCATTCCCGGTTTATATTGCTTGTGTCCCAGTAAGCCTATAAGGCCTATCCTAACCTAATCAATAGTGCAACACTTTCCCCATAACATTTTGTAATTATTAAACATCCACAAAAGAAGAATGCTCACTTGTGCATTATCAATGTTGTCCCTATTCCAAAGGGGCAAGAAGAAGTGATTAGCAAAACAAAATACCAACTGCAAATGCTATAAAGCTAGATATGAGCAGAGCTGCTAAAGAAATTAAGAAATACAAAGAACCTGTTTACAAACTCATCACCAGGTTTTTGACTAATTCCTTTCCCAAATAGTGATCAATATGGTAAACTTGTGGTTCATCAAATAACTGCTCAATCTGGGAACTCAGTTGCTCGACAGAGTCCAAATCCTTACCAAATGGCTTCTCTCTCTTTGTTGGACCATTTTCTGATAAAATTTAGACACTGATCCAACATCGTAGGACGACAACCAAAAACAATAACATGACCATTAGAAGCACAGAGATTCAAGCATTCAACTATATACTGTGACTCATAAGAAACATCTTTATCTAAACCTATAAATGCGCTTGGTAATTAAAAATAACAATCTAAAAATATGAGATTTGAAACACAATTAATTGGTTCTAATTTTTTATGCAATTCATGCAATAGCATAAATTAGGACTAAGATAAAAAAGATTTAGAAAAGACCAACTTCTTCTCCAAGAATTGATGCTGAAAGTTGCAACTGAAAGCTTCAAAATCACTCTCTCCTATAGAACCCCTGCACCACAAAATAGAAAAACATCAGTTCAGCCACATTCAACTTCGGAACTTAATTATTTTCAAAAAATGGATTTAAGAATAGACTATGAGAAGAGAACCATAATTTTAAAATCCAAGACTTAACTAATCTTTTAAAGGAAAAAGAACTTGTATGGAGGTAGAATATGCTGGAAAAAAAAAAAAAACAATTGCATTAAAACTTTACTGACCATCAAATGAACTCATTAAACCTTAATAGTTAATCATGCCATCAAAATTTTAAAGCTCCAACAAATCAAATAGAGAAATAACAATCATAATAATGCACATCACGCAATACAAATGCAAGATCATAACTTCCTGAAACCCTTCCCCCCTATATGGGAAGCTTGGGGACTTGATGGCAAGAACTCATGTAGAGGAATGGGAGAATAGCCTGTTAGCAAACAACAATCCACATAAAATCAAATTCCACATGAAACATGATTACTAAGCACAGAAACTAAAGATATTTATATAATAAACATGAGATCTAGACCAGTCCGCATTTATCGTTCCTTAAAAGGAATATGACAAAAACTATTGTGAGAACAACTTTGAAAACAATATAAACTGCAAAATTTTCAAACAATAATACAAGTATACCAGTAGCATGTGGTGTAGTGTTATCCATCTCCTAACTACCCATTATTTATCCACCAACCAACTTCTAAAAGCACCTCAAACCATCCCACAATTATAATACGTGCTTCCATCAACAATATGCACTCTTTTCCAACTATATTTTTTTCAAAACGATCCAATTTATCTAACCTTACAGTGTTTCTAACAAATAATATATGGAATCCGATTTATCTAGCCCTACAGTATTTCTTCACAAAGGCCCTATAGATCATCTAAAATGATATTCCAGCACTTTTGGTGTTGGGATTGAAGTACCTACTTTTATTAATGCAAAATTTCCTTATCATCCTACAAACAGATGGATATACTGAAGGTGGAAGTGCAAGATAAAAGAGAGTAAGTAATTAAGCATTTTGTTCCTTTTCATTACTTAATTTACAAATATCATCACTTGGTTTTATGCGATGCATAAAACACTCTCTTGTAAGGCACATCAAAGATTCAATCCAAACATTATAGTCGTATACATTCATTAATGTGCACTACAATATTGATTAATTATATGTTAGGACATAATCAATTACAATATTTTTAAGTTAACAATTTTGCTGGCAGATAAGTAAGAAAAGGAAAAACAGAATTCAAGATATAAGTATTATTTAGAGCTGTTGATGTATGCAGGGTCAAATCACAAATCAAGCTTCAATAAAGTTCAGATTACTAATTTGTAAATGCAAAAAACATTAGTAAAGGTTATATATCAAGAATGAACAGAGTTCACACTATTAATATGCAAATTAAGAAATCAGTCCATCATTTCTTTTGTCTACTAAGTTCAACCAAACCACCTTATTTTTTATGATAAATTCTCATGAAATAAAGAAAGACAATATATAAATTGTCCAAACCATGTAAGATCAAGATAGTCAGAATACAAAACAAAGTGATTAAAAGCCAAAGAATAATATTTCAGCAAGACATATTTTAGTATAGTTACCAATAAATAGAGAAGAAAACTAAAATAAAAGCTATTAACTAACCATGCTGTATAATACTCTTTCCACATAAAGCTTAAAATTTAGCAAAATCACTTGGAATGTTTTAAATTTAACCAAAATGACATTGGAACAAAAAGCTTACCTCAATGATGACGTGCATGTCAAATTCTTTAGTGTCAAGTCCAATTCCCTCATAGAAAGCTATGCGCCGACAGTTGTTGAGGTACATTGACATATACCTGCAGGACAAAATTGTAACGCTATGATAGGAAAAAACTCACAGGTGCCTGATTAAAGCTTTAAGCATTTTTTGAGGCTAGAATTGTCTATAGGCTTACTTCAAATTAACTTCAAAAGCAGTGTAGCATGACATAAAAAATAAGGCCGTGCATGAGGATATTATCAGAGATTATCTAGCAATAAAAGATTATCGAAAGACAGAAAAATCTGGACCACAGTTTTGCCTTCCAATGATTAAGGAACTGGGTTGTGCCTTTAGCAATGCAGAGAAGCAGTCGCCATGACGGCTCTCATCCTGGCACTAAGAATTGATCAATGGTCGTTATCAAAATAAGTTCAGGGATAACATTACCGTACATGCAAAGGTTCAAATTTTTAAATAACAGTTAACAATTTTTATCAAATGAAATATAAAAAATAGGGAGAAACAGTTATTGCATGAATCAATTGAAGTTCAAACCTATCGAAGCGTCACACCAGTAAGCCTAGAAGTGAAGGATAATTGGTGTGCCACTGCCACAAGCCATCAAGCTCACCTTTCGACTCCACGTCTTTTACTGAACCACTTCCTTTTGGATTCTTTTTCTCTGCTTCAAAAAGACCAATTAAATTTTAAACCCTCAAAGTCATGAATGACAAATCTAAAGTATATATCTTTACCTACATGTCTGTTACAACAATCCCTGCATAAAAAAAAAAAAAATTCACATTTCATCTAAAATTTGCAAAATCAAAGTAAAAATAAGGATAAAGAAAAAATTATTGATGTTTTGAAGTAAACAATTTCTCTTGCACAGACCCATGTCATCTTTCAATCTCTTGCTCAGTAAAAAAAAAAGTCTCCAAATAAAAAAAAAATGAAACAACATGAAAAATCATACCGATTAGTGCAAACATTCAAACAGTAGTACCATGCATGCTGTCTCTCAATCTTTTGCAAAGGGAAAAGAGCAAAAACAAATTAAAAAAATCTTAAAATAAAGAAAATAGGGAAAATTCATGACATTCAAAGGCATTCAAATTGTGGGTAATGAAAGCATAACTTTAGAATCTTAAAACTTAAAATCTTAAAAATTAGCAACATCAGACTCCACTGCAGGGAAAATGACTAGCGATCTGGGTAAATCAATGAAAATCCCAACATCACTGAATCAAGAAAATCAAGAATTGATCAATGGTTATGAACAAAAAAAGTTTAGTGACAACATTACCATACATGCAGAAGTGGGTCATCGATGGTGGAGGAGCAAGAAGTGAGCGTTGGTGATTGGCAGTATGAAAAGAAAGAGGGTAAGAGTTAGCAAAAAGGAAAGTGGTAGAAAAGGAGAATCGGGAGAGAGACAAAAGCTTCTGGAAAGCTTTAGATTTTTTCTTCCCAAATAACCAAGCTTAAAAACCACACCCATCCCAAAATTAGTTTGCTAATCTCTTTTTATTACATTGCTAATCTATCAATATAAAACCTAAAGGGGGACAGTTATTATATATAGTTATAGATTCTCTAACATTATTTTCTCTCTTTATTTTTTCAGGAGTTGCTATTTGGAAGTGTTTAGTTCAATTGAGGTATGTTTTGATGATTAGACAATCATGGCTGTTTATCAGCCATATTTAAATCAATTTAGTTCATAATAATTTATCCAACTGTTCATTCTATGTGTAAAGTGTTTTAAGATATAATTGATAATGCATGGTATATTGTTTTTTTTACATGTTTGTAGCCGTTGGAAAAGTCCTCCCAAATGAGTGAACAGTAACTTCCCATCAAATAACTTCCATGGGCAGTTTAATTACAATTGTTTTGAATTTCAAATCAAATAAAAATTGAATGCTTCCTCATTTTCTTTTAAAAGCATGGCATTTAGGCCACAACAAAAATAAAAGGAAAAAAATTGTATTCAACTGTTGCATGAAGATGATATGAATGAAGTTTCTTCCTTTTTCAAATAAAATATGGCATTCGGGCATGATGAAATAGGGTGAAAGAGTATTCATCTTAAGTATAAGATAAGTTTCATTCATATGTGGGACTATGTGATAAGTTATATAGAAAACAAAAAGAAAAAAAAAATTGACAAAGCAAAAGAATAAGACATTTCTTGCGAATTCTTTGAGAAGGTCTCTTGCATTGATATTTAAGAATATATGCTATGAATAGTGGATAATTTTTAAATATGTGATCTTATTCCTAATCTATGAACTTTTCGAGGAATCTTTTACATCAATATTTAAAGACTTATGCTATGGATAGTGGATAATTTTTTAATGCGTAATCTTATCCTCAATTGTGAAATCAAGTCGGCATTGCTTCCGTAACACTTTTGCAAATATGTTTCCACTATGCTTTCACAAATTAAGTAAGTTTTTCGCATTATTTTTATATATGATCTTATTTAAATTATAAGATTATCCTTCATTAGTATTAGGCTAAGTTGGTTTGATTCCTGGTTGTTTCAATGCTTGTTTTGCAACACTAAAATTATAAACATGTTTTCGAGTTCTTACTAGAATGTGTTCAAAAATCTATGGATGTATTACACAAAAGTATGTAATTTTGTTTTAAAAGGTTGTTATGAATATTTTGAAACATTTAAATGCAAGTTACCATTATTATTTGGATTACTTTAGATCTAGTTTTCAATTTTTAAAACATAAGCATTAGAATGCTCGATAGGCCATTTGAATCCCTTAAGCAAAATACCAATTTTTAGCCTATTTTTTGAATAGGCATTCAAATTCTCTAAGAAAATATTTGAATGCCTTAAGTGATTTTTTAATAGATTTAAAAAATAAAGAAATGTTTAAAAAATTTTTTGATCGTTCTTGGTTAACTTTAAGAGCATGAAAAGTACAAGAATGATTAAAATATATTTTAATCATTATGAAACTTGTATTTATTCATGAAATTTCTTGTATATATGTTACAAAAAATCATGACAATGATTACGAGAACTCTCTTATTATAAGGACTTAGGCATAATTGCTTAAAGCTATAAAGCTACTTACTAATTTAGTGCAGCACCGAATGGATCCAAATGATGATGACATTGTGTGTCATATCATCAAGGGTTAATGATAAGATTAAAGAATTCACCTTGTTAAGTAACATGCATGTAAAGAGGATCTAAACATATACACGATATTGAATAGATATGCTTCTTACACTTCAATAAAAGAATCATTTCAAAGATAATTGGATATCTAACGAGAGAAAACATCCTAATGTTATAACTTTAATAAAAAATTTTATGACTGTTGAGAAAAAGGGCAAGTAGAAATATGCCTTCTTTATCTACTCAAGTTTCTATAATGGCATACACAAAATTGTTAGATCTCTATGGATGATTAATAAGAATATGGAACTGTCATAGATTTATGGATTCCATCATAGTTACTAGACAAATAATACATATTGATTGAGAAAATAGTTTAATAAACATTACATATGTTTAACAATGAAATTTGTTCATATGTTCAGTATGTACATGTTATATGAGACTTTATCTATGTGAATTTCAATTAATGTATATCATTGATTGAAGGTAACATTATGGTTAGTGGGAGTTCTAAAATAATTAATTTGTTCTATCTTAGAAAGATTATTTTTGCACAATAAAATAAATTAGTGATAATCAAACCATTAAAAATAGAATTTGATTGCAAACAAAATAACCTTTTGGTTTCATTTTTATGTGAATGATTATCATTGTTTTATTTGTAACATTATGACAAAAAGATATGTGTAATGCTTGGCATTAATTAGTGTATAGGTCTCTCAATATTGAATTATCTTTTGAAGAATGTTTTTGTATTTAAGTATATGGTTACTAAATATGGATAATTATAAAATATGGACTATGAAAATTCAGTACGTGTTAGAAGAATAATAGATTCTTTAAATTCTAAACATTATCCTAGTGGAATCCCAATATAAAAATATGCCTTAACATAAAAGAACTAAGGACTTGTAAACTCTCGATAGAAAAAACTCTATTGCTCGCCTTACAGTACTAAATAGTATGAAGAATGATATCATGCATGAGTTTAAGTAACATGATATTACTAAAAAAGATGTGGAATGCCTTCACAATATAGTTTGAGATAGCTGTCAAGAAACATGCATACACTAATGATATCTTATCAATATATGGTATACATGGTCTCTCATCATTATATTAATTATTCATTTAAAAAGCTGATGCATTTCTTGGTTTGTGTATATACTTATATATTTATTAGACAATTGATATATTTAGAAAATTTATAATATTTAATTAATAAAATTAAATTTTATGTGTTTTTGTAATATGTTTCAATTTTAAATGTAATTGTAATAAAAATAAAAAAATTATTTATCTCAAATGTTATTTTTTGCAACTACATATATAAAAATTGATATTCAAAATTTAGTGGTATTTGTTTAGATAAATGCTGTTAAATATCATATTTAATGGTATTTTTTTTAATAAATGCTATAAAATTGAAATATTTAATGACATTTATCAAAGAAAATGCTGATAAAAGTTGCAAAATAGTAGAGTTTTTTTATTACAAATGCCACTTAATATGCAAAAAATCTCATATCTCAATTTTTATGTCAAAGCGTTTATAAAATGCCACTAATTATAAAAATGATGTTAGGAAAACGTCTTTAAAAGTCTAATTTTCTGTAATTATAATTGATTTGTTAGGTAATAATTTTGTTTTAATAATAATATATTCATCATATGATTCATATCATAATTTATATAGATGATTCATGTGGGCATATTAGTTTATTACATTTATATGGCTCATAGTTGGTAATTTGGTGATAGTCTACTAATGTTTGGCTTAAGAAAAATGATAATCTTTTGACAGTTTGAAATCTCTTTGGTATAGAATTGAAATTTTAGACGATTTTGTTGGATTTGATTATAAGTGATCAAATAACTACAATAAAAACATCAAGTGAAAATATTTTAATAAATGGCTTGAACTAGAAACAACTCAGAAACTAAAATAAACTTGAATGAAATAATTTGAAACTAAAATAACTTGAACTCAAAATTATCTAATTTTTTTAATGTTTGAATATTCCAAATTAAATTAATCCATACTAAACCTAATCCAATCCGCCTAATTATTGATTATTATTCAAAAAGGCATATTCACGTTGTCAAACAAATGTTGATTGCATCCTTTTCAAATACAGTTTTTTTTTTTTTTTTTTTTTTAACAATTTTCTGTTTACTACTGTCATTTTCTTGGTATCACTTTTTCATTTCTAATTATAAAATTACAGTTTTCATTTAGTGTTAGATAAATTAATTCCTAGCTTCAGATTTATATTTTGGAGCGAAAAGTTTTTGGGAACTCAACTTAATAAATTGATGTCCCAATAACTAATACGATTATATCTATGGTTCAAGGGAAACTTCGTGATCCTCCCCTTCAACACTGAAATTCCTTCTCTTCGGTGGAAACAACGACTAGAAAATTGTATTGTTGGCGCATGTCATTATCTGTACTCAGGTGCGAATCACAAAATCGTTCATGGGGCGTGAAGACAACAAATATGTTGCTTGATGAGAATTTGGTGGCTAAGATGTCGGATTTTGGGTTGTCTAGAATAGGCGTCACGAACATGTCCAAGGCCCATGTTAGCACCTTAGTGAAAGGCAGCTTTGGGTATTCGTTCATGGGGCGTGAAGACAACAAATATGTTGTTCGGTGAGAGTTTGGTGGCTAAGGTTTCGGATTTTGGGTTGTCTAGAATAGGCGTCACGAAGATGTCCAAGGCCCATGTTAGCACCGTAGTGAAAGGCAGCTTTGGGTATTCGTTCTTGGGGCGTGAAGACAACAAATATGTTGTTCGATGAGAATTTGGTGGCTAAGGTTTCGGATTTTGGGTTGTCTAGAATAGGCGTCACGAAGATGTCCAAGGCCCATGTTAGCACCGTAGTGAAAGGCAGCTTTGGGTATTCGTTCATGGTGCGTGAAGACAACAAATTGTTGTTCGATGAGAATTTGGTGGCTAAGGTTTCGGCTTTTGGGTTGTCTAGAATAGGCGTCACGAACATGTCCAAGGCCCATGTTAGCACCGTAGTGAAAGGCAGCTTTGGGTATTAGGATCCAGAGTGTTTGGTCCTCGACAATTTACAGAAAAATCTGATGCATATTCGTTTGAGTGGTACCATGTGAGAGATTATGTGCTAGGCCACCAATTAATCGCACTGTCTAGAAGGCATAGGTATGCTTAGCATCATGGGTCCAACAATGCCATGAAATGGAACTGTTACAAAATCATTGATCCATTTTTGAGTGGTAAGATTGCGCCTGAGTGTTTGAAAAAATTCACAGAAGTGGCAATGAGTTGTTTGCTTGATGAAGGAATCGAAAGGCCATCCACGGGAGATGTCTTGTGGAGCTAGACTTCGCACTACAATTGCAAGAAATGGATTAGGAGGGGGCTTAAAAACACTATGGATTGGAAGATGAATGGGGGAAGTGTTCAGTAGCATTGGTGATCAGCTTCTGAATTCCGAGAGCAATAGTACTTTCAGCTTAACAACAGGTGATGAACAAAGTTTTGTTGGCAAGGATTCTGATAGACTCACGTTATGAGCAGTGTTTGACGATGATAAAAAACTTGAAGATGGTAGATTAGGAATCTTGAGAGTTTGGGTGAGGACCATGTAAATGGTCCTACTTCAATTAAGAAAAATCCAATGGTACTTAATATCTAAATTCAAGGAAAAATTATTTGTACGGTAGCATCATTAATATTAGATTCCAAGGTGAGTTTATGTACCACATATATGTTTAATGTCTATGACCAGCTAGTTGTATTATTTAAGAATGGTGTTAATGATGAGTGTGGTAGTTGGAACTTCTAACTGCTAAAATCAATGCTAAACTTTGACTGCCTTATTCTGCCTTAAACAAATCGATAAAAATCTCTTGAGAGTTTGTATGGTAGCATCATTAATATTAGATTCCAAAGTGCGTTTATGTACCGCATTTATGTTTAATGTCTATGACTAGCTAGTTGTATTATTTAAGAATGGTGTTTATGATTGTGGTAGTTGGAACTTCGAACTGCTTAAATCAAAGCTAAACTTTGACCGTTCTGCCAAAAGAAACAAATCGATAAAAATCTCTTTTATTCTTTGTTTGAAATTTTGCTATCTCAGTGCCTTATATTCTTTAAAATTATCATGTTAGGCAAATATTTTGTTTTAGGTAAATAAAGTTTTTTAATTCATTAAAATTATCAATCATTATCAATTATTGTATTTAATATTTAATATTATTATAGATAGTATATTAACTAATCTTAAATAATATTTTTAGGACACGTTAATTCTATGCAAAAACAGTAATACCAATAAACTAACTAATTAGACAGGGAGACAGCACAATATACAAATGTTTTTTGGAATGAAATATAAATGACATATTTGTGATAACATATAGATCCGAAGACCTATCGCTAGATATTACATTAAGGAATCGTCACCAATTTTTTTGGTTTAGGTACGATTAATCACCTGAAGAATCTATCATTTTAAGGAATACCTAAATTTGATTAAGAGTCCCTAAAATAATAGATTCAGGTTTATTAACCAGAATAGAGTTTGGGAGTTCAGTTACGATAGAAGAAGTTTATAGCACTCTCACAACGCCCATTGAAAGATAGTACCAGCTTAATTTCGTATTATCCAATAAGCCTTAAAAATTACCAAGTAATTAATTATTGAAAATAATTCTTAATTAACTCTAATACTTTTGACAGAAAATTAAAAAAAATTCCCTCACCTCAAGAATATGTAAGAAAACTACTGTTTCTCTTGCAAAGGCTCCATCGTCGGATTATTTAACAAGATTTAAAAAAAAAACTCATGATTTTATACAAGAAAAATTGATACTTTCAACTTTTTCTTAAAGCATTTGGAGGTTTTTCGTTTTAAGAAAAATTAGTACTTTCAACTTTTCCTCAAAATGTTTTTTTTTTTGAAATTTTAATTTTAAGAAAAATTGATACTTTCAACATTTCCTTAAAAATATCTTTTAGAAATTTTAATTTAAAAAAAAATTGATATTTTCAGCTTTTCCTTAAAAATATTTTTTAACAATTTTATTTTCAAGGAAAAATTTATACTTTTAACTTTTTCCTCAAAAATATTTTTTAACAATTTTATTTTCAAGGAAAAATTGATACTTTCAATCTTTTCCTCAAAAAATTTTTTAGAAATCTTTATCTTCAAAAGAAATTGATATTTTCAACTTTCCCTCAAAAAATATTTTTTGAAATTTTTTTTTCAAGGAAAATTGATACTTTCAACTTTCCCCCAAAATGCTTTTGAAAATTTTTATTTTAGAAATTTTATTTTTAAGGAAAATTGATACTTTCAACTTTTTCTCAAAAATATTTTTCTATTTTTGTGTTCAAAGGAAATTGATACATTCAACTTTCCTTCAAAAATTTTATTTTCAAGAAAAATTGATACTTTCAACTTTTTCTCAAAAATATTTTTTTTGAGAATTTTATTTTAGGAAAATCATTGAAAAATAATAATAAAAATAAAAATAATAAAAAAATCAAAGGATATCAAATAATTTTAATTTAGAAATAATAATAATAATAATAATAATAAATAAATAAATAAATAAACAAAAAAAAACCTTAACGCGGCTTGGCTCAACGATTGGGATTCGGTTGGCTCCAAGAAAAAAAAAAGGCTTGAAAACGTGGCTCGGCTAGGAATGGTTGAACACAGGTCAGACGCGAGTTGCGATCGGGTTAGGTTGATCCAAGCAGAAACACGCTGACCCTGGATTGATTTAATGCCAAAACAACGTCGTCTTGAGCAAGTTTAAAAGGCCAAAAATCCTATTTTTCCCTCAGACGTCTCTTTTCCTTCTCTCTCTCTTTCTCACTCTAACAGAACTCAGAATCTGGTTGAATTTTCATCGAATTTTGAAAAAAATACCGGGATCCAAAAAAATACGCTAGAAACTTCAAATTTTGCCTGAAAAGTTGGTCGAAATATGAAATTTCAGAAATTTTCTAGAAAAAAAAATTCGTCAAAAATTTCTAAAAAATCTTACAAATTCCCAAAATTGCCTCTAACCCACTAGAACTCTTTTTGCTTCTATTTTCTTATATTTCCTCCCTTTGCTTCTGATCAATGTGGGTATTTATAAGGAATAAATCTCAGAGTCCCTGACTAATCCAGATTTCCTTTTTGATTGGGTTTCTAGTTTATCAAATTAACCCGTAGACTTATTCTATAAGGATTAAGTCCAACTATGATTCTATCTAGCCTCATTCATGGCAAGATTTATTTCGATCATTATTTTTTGATTATTTTTAATTAATCTGATTATTATTTCCTAACCGAAAATTAATCTGAAAAAAAAAAAAAGAAAAAAAAATCTAGAAGAAAAATAAAAAAATAAATCAATAAATTACATATAAAATAAAAATCAATTAAGCCCAAATCTTTGGGTTTGACTAACCCTATTTGGACCAAGCCCAGTTGATCTGGGCCTGGATCGAATTAGGTGTCTACAGCTGCCCCTCTTTGCGCATTTTCTGTGTAACAAAAATTGTGCAAAGATGTAGACACCCCACTTATGCCAACATATTCACTTTTTTAAAAAAAAAAAAAACACTCGAAACACCCCTAAGCAGAAGTTCACAACTTTTTAGAGAATAAACAAAACTCTTCTAAACAGAGGCTCAATGACTTTTTAAAAAATAAACAAAGCTCCTCTAATCAGAGACTCAATGATTTTTTGAAAAATAAACAAAGCTATTTTAACCAGAGGCTCAATAACTTTGAAAAAATAAACAAAGCTCCTATAATCAGAGGCTCAATGACTTTTGAAAGATAAACAAAGCTCCTCTAATAAGAGACTCAACGACTTTTGGAAAACAAAGCTTCTCTAAACAGAGGCTCAACGATTTTGGAAAAATAAACAAAGCTCTTCTAATAAGAGGCTCAACAACTTCGAAAAAATAAACAAAGCTCCTCTAATCAGAGGTTCAACAACTTTGGAAAATAAACAAAGCTCCTTGACAATCATATCTAGAGGAGTCAAAGATCATGTTTGAAGGAATTTTAAAAGATGATGCTCGAGGGCTTTACAAATCGATCCTAATATCGAGAGATATCCTTTTTCAAGGGTTAAAATCTTACCTCACAAGCTTTTTCTCAAACAAGAATTTGAAATTTTTACATCAAAAAGTCATCACATCTGTCTTCCCTATGTGGGATCTTGGAATACCCATGCTTTTTGAATTTATGCACTATACTTTCTTAAATGCAATATATGCTATGTGAAATGCAATGCATGCTATGCAAATGCTGGCTAATTAATTCCCATTCAGTTGTGGTACTCAAGTTTCTTAAGCTCTTCTCTTGGGCCTCGAATCCTTTATTCTTCAAAGATTAAGTCAGCGTAACTCTCAATCATCTCTTTCATTTAATTTTCTTATTTTTTTGTAAGAAATCTCTTTCCAAATTCAATGTCCTTATCAGGAACGAGCATCTCAAATTTGCCTTTATCACTCTCGACCCCTCTAATGTAATGTAAAATCTTTCATGCTATTATTTATTTATCAATCATTATTTCAAACTCAAAAAGTAAGAATGCATTCACATATTTCTTTCATTGTGAGGTATTAAGGAGAAAAGAATAAGAATGGTTAGGAAATAATTAACAAAAACACAAAGAATGAAGTGAAATATCTTTTATTAGCAAAAATGTTGGCAAACTTTGGCTAAGAAAGAATTACAAAGATAGGTATGGGGAGACAATCCCAAAAACGAACAATCGAATAATCATGATAACACATCTCGAAGTTTTTTTTTGAAAAACTTAACCACCCGATGCACTTAACAACTTAAAATTTCTCAAAATATGCTAGCCTCTATGCCAATGAATTTTTAAACTTGATGTTGTATTCTCTTTATCTAAGCTGCTTTTTTAGGTTTTCAACTTAGATAAACCCCCTTTTGACTCAAATCGTCATCTCAGGGTTTTCACCTTGAGTCTTCTTTTTATTTTTTTTCAAGTATAGTACTTTTTTACAGCAACAAAATTTATAGGATGAGATAGAT